TTTGAATTGAGTATCTTTACTTGCACAAGTGAAACATTGCTAGTGGTAAGGACAAAAATGTAGAGTGAAAACAGCCTAACCATGCAGTTTGTTTGCTTTACTCTGCAGTTTATTACTGACAGTGACTTTAATCTGCTGCAGAGTATCAACCACAGAAAATACTTATTACTGATAAAGACTAATGAGTTCTATGTTTTCTTTTTTTTCTCTAACCAGTTTTTCCTTGCTGAATTTAATGGACTACCACAGTGATGTGGACTGTGAGTTGTAAACCCTGCAGAGAAATGTCAATTTGTTGAATAAAAGGCTTTTATTAGTACTTTTAAAAATCATGGAAACTTTCCCATTGCTCGTATCTTTAATCCAACTTGTTTAACTTGAGTGTGTGTCAGACTTGTAAGAAGATTTTTCATATGGGACTGGGTAGGAAGGCTATTGATCCAAGAACTCTGAATAGTCAAAAGGCAGAAGAGCATATGCAGCAAGACTCCACAGCCAAAAAGATTTCCATTGAAAAAAATTACTATAGGGTAGAAGTGAGAGGTTGCTGTCAGATTGCTTAGGTTTGTTCTTTTTTCTCCATATTCTGATGAGCTAAAAATCTTCTATTCCCTTTTGCCTTGTACCCCCTGTACCCTTGTACCCCTGACATTCAAGGAGAGAGTAATTTAATGTGCTATGTCTTAATCAGGGACTTACATGTAGCAAAATCTGACATTTTTATCTAGACTATATTATGTAAAGCAGCGAGCTGGGGGACCAGGTTTGTGTTACAGCTGTTGACAGATGATGTTTTTCAGTAAGTCATGCAGCAGCAGAGGAGTGCTGCTTTCCCATTCCCACCGTACCGCTGAGCCACTGCTGCAAGGGTGACAATGTGTAACAATGGAGGTTGAAAAGATAAAGTTGAAGTTGACATGAAAAGCGTGTGACAAAGAAGCCCAACAACTGAGATACCCATAGCTGAAAAATCCGTGAGAAAGTTGCTCAGCACCTGTCTGATACTCAAAGGCAGTTACTTTTTCTTGAAGAAGGCTGGTAAGCACTGCTCAATAAATCCCAATGGCAGGCCTGTAATAAAGTGGAGCTTATGCAAGTTGGCACAGTTTGAAATTTCACCATATGTTCTAGTTCAGTTAAGATATATTTCTGTTGCTTTATGCTTTTTGCATCCTTGATCTGCAAGAGTGATAAATAGGGCATGATCTCTTGCAGTTAGCATTGCAGTGATAGATGCATTACACTCCTGTGGCTCAAATACCTGCAGTAAGACAACTGAACACCTGCAATTAGAAATGCAAAGATTGTTCTCATTGAGCAGTCCAAAATCAAGCAACACTGCTGACTTTCTAGTGAGTTCACAAGCTTTGTAGTCAGCCAAGAAGCATGCAGCAAAGTGAAGCGTTATCAACATTACTCATGCTATCTACAGCTTTTCTAGATCATCACTTCACCTAAAAATGTATGAAAACCCAGGCTTGGGGTTCCCACAGCACAGAAGTGACATGTTCATTTGGACCTTGCCAGCTTAATTAACATGACTGTATTTCCTACTACCTGGAGCTCCTGAAAGCTCTTTGTTAAGCATAATGCATTACAGTAATCCAATTTAGATGTGACAAAAATCATGTTCTTCTGCCAAGGCATCTACTGCACTGAAAACTGTCATTCCCAAAGTAAGGGTCACAAACTTCAGTTGGACTGCCAGCCCAACGGTGGTGTAATTATCTAAGCTAGTGTAATGAGGCTGATGAGAGTGGAACTTACTGCCAGAAACAGGCTGAGGAGATTTTTAGGGGGTGACTAGACTATTCTGAATAGGAACACTTGCTCTCCAAATCCTGTTTTGTACTTCAGAGAAGCTTTTTGGAGGGTGAGAAAATTAATGTTTTCAAATGTATTCTATTTATGTGTCTCTGACTCTGCTAAATTTTAGTTCAGATTAATATTTTCTTCAGGTCCTGTGATAAATATGGTAAGTATTAGAAAAAAATCTGTAGGCTCCTAATTAGTTTCCAATGATTCATTCAGACAGCACATTTATAAATAGGGGTAAAAAAGGGCAGGGGGAGGAGGGGAGCATGAGAGAGAGAAGAGTCTTTAGAGCACATGCTGCCCATTTTACCCAGTAGCCAGAAAATTTCTGTGGTACATAATTGTATTATCTTGATTGTGAAGGGCTCGGTGTCGGAACTAAGTTTCTTAGCCTGCCTCCTACCTTCTAGTGCTAGTATACTTACTACATTTTTAAGTCAAACAGTGTTGTTCCCCCTTGGATTCTGAACAGCGGCTAGAGAAATCTCATTTGTAGATAAGTAATGGGCATTTGTTCTCCCTTTTATCTTTTACTTCTCTGTTCAATGTCCATGTCATTGAGCACAGGAAGAGCTGACATAATTTACTGTTTCAATTTTTAGAAATTTGTAACTTCAATAGTGTTGGAGTTCAGATATCCCTTTATTCAAAGAGGGAGTCAAATTGTCCATTATAATGCTAGACACCATGTGGTAAATTATAAATTAAATGATGATCCTGGAATGCACAGACATCACCTGTGACTGTGACTGCATACTCAGCAAGGTCTCTGTGACGGACATGCAATTAAACCTGTACATTGTCTCTAAATAAAATCTAGAGTACTAAAGCAAGTTTCAGCCTGAGTATTGCCCCACACTTTTTTAGATTATGTTAGCAATCTCTTAACACACACTGGATTCGTAATCACTGTCAACTCACTATACTTTCCTTTTCAATAAAGAACAGTGATGTTATGCAATGTTAGTATGTAGAACATGCCCTGTTTTTTTTAGTCCTATTTTAAGAACATACGTCTGAGTAAAACTACATTTTTGGTGATTCTAAGTCTTCCCCCAGCAGTTAACATTTTGTCTATATTTATGTGACATGACTTTATGCTTTATAGTTTTGGCAGATGGAGGGATGATTTTCTTCCCATTTTTCATATGGTGAGGAATTTACAGGAGCTAGCTTAGCAATAGCAAGCAGAGGAGGCTTTGATTTGTTTACTTAACTTATGTGTCACATATAAAAGGCAATGTCCTTCCACTGTAGTTGTTAATAACTAGCTGTTCCAAATGGATTTGTGCCAACACAAAATCCACCACCACAATTAGCAGTAACAGGAATTTCAGCTGGCAGCAGCAATGAAGGCAGTAAAGATTAAATGACTGTGTGAACTGTCCCTCCGAATTAACACTGATGTACATTGGCAAATAGTAAGAAAACTCACACCACTGTTACCCTCCGCTCTGTTCTACTCTGGTAATAATTAAGGGAAAATACAGCTGTCCGCAACTCGGTAGTTCTCACATGGTGTAGAGTCACCCCAGTAATGACAGGCATCTAAGTATCCACATCAGTAAAACCTACCAGATTACAAAACCTTATAGATGACTTTCAGATGCTTAAGGATACAAATAACCTTTCAAAGAAGGTTGGTTTTGAGAGGTATTTTTCAGTTACGTGCCTATTACTGACTTCTAGCTGGTGTTGCACATGTACTTCCAAAAGCCTACTTGAAAATTACACTAAATGACACCCAAGAAGTTAATTTATTTTTTTTTTTCAGGGTAGAAAATCTTCCAGGAGCTACAGAATCTCAGCAAAATAGCATTCATGGTAATACTTCTATAGCATAAAATACGAACTTGGCCTGGAGCAGGTTACCAGAGCTCCAATAACGACAAACCCTCCCACTTCTCATGAGCCATGGCTTAATTATGCTAATCCTTGTACAATCAAATGAATGAAAAAAATAGTAGAATGAGGATTTGAATAATTATTTTACAGTATTAACTGATAGAATACATTATAGATTAGCCCAAGTTTCTTTAGAGTGATTCAGCTTGCTGTCTCACAGTGTCCTGTATGACATAATTTCAAAATACAAATTATTTTCCACACTTTAAATGAACCTCTAGCAATGTGCTAGAGCACCTCAGAAATATTTTAGGCTTAAGAGTTGTCCAAACCTAACCTTTGAATTCAGGAACGCAGTAAAACATCTGATTTGTAGGTCAGGGTGTGAGAAAAGCACAGCTGTTAACCATGACCTTGAAGAGGCTTTGCAGCTGCAGTTATGGTGCAGCATTAGGAATGACACATCTTCGTAACATTTTGTACTTTGTGAAATGCCATATCTTAACCTATGGGTTTGCAGGACAGCATCTGATTCCTTGTATTTGCTATGGACAGAATTAAATCTCGCAAGTCAATCTAAGATGTCAGTCCTTTCCTGGTCATTCTGAAAGCATCCAAAACACAGAGGCTTTGCAGATATACAGGAAGCACCGTGCAGTTTTAGCAGTAACTTTAGCATGTGCATGAATAGGTATGTGCCAAATTTATGCAGATGAATTCGAACATCTTTGCTGTAGAATTTTCAGGAATAGAGCAATTGCTTTGGTGTTGACAGTTAAAAGCTTCCGTGGAAATAGATACCTGGTGCCATGTTCTGGCACTGGTTAGACATTCCAGTGATAACTGTTTGCCAGGAAGCAAGGCTAGCAAAAAAAAAAAAAAAGCCAAATCCAATTCAAATTTATCATCAGGTAAATGTGAGTTTTGGCAGCAGGACAGAATTATTCACTTTAGACTTCACTCGGGACACACAGTGAACCCCTCTCTTCAAAAGAAATTTGACCCGTTACTAGCAACATAGGCTAAACTGTGCATCTAACCAGTTAGGTCCACCAGTTGCACATCAGGAGACACTAATTCTACCATGTATTACCCATGTAAATCAGATGCAATTTTCCCCAGTATTTACTGTTTCCTGATTTCCCAGTACTAACTGCACAAGCATTGGGTTAACCCAGCGGAGAGGTGATTGTTGGAGCTTGGGGGAACAATACATAAGGTGTAACAGCTGATGCAATGAGCCTGCTGTATGGGAAAGGTCAGCCCCTATAAAAATCATGGGCAAACTCTCTGAAGAACTGGGCTCAGGCATGGACAGTAGAAAGAGACAAGAAAGCACATTTTACGTTTTTTGAGAAGTAAGTTTATGTATTAAAGAGAATGCATCCTATGAAAAGGCATTTATAAAGCAAATACAAGGAGTCCAACTTTTTCACTGAGACATGATTGCTTTTCAACTTCATGAATAGCAAGTAGGGAAAAATCATGGACACACATTAATTATAATACAGTAAAATGAACATGAAAACTTTAACAACACTGAAGGCCACCATACACCACAACTACAACTGTAGCCTACAATTGTTTCAAGCAGCCTTGCCAGTCTGCTTTTAATTTTTTGAAGCCACAAGAGGGTTATCTACAGACTTGAGAGTAGGTAAGTATACTGCTCCCAGAAAAGGAAAAATCCCCAAAATGTAACCCAAATCCCCACATTTGGTTATTGGCTATAATACAATACCATCAAGTCAGGAGAAGACTTAAAACAGAGAACATTACAGGCTTTTTTATCAATATAGACACCAGACATCTAACTAACTCAAGGCATTATATACAGTCCTGTTCCGGCCAGAGCTGAGAACCAGACTGAAGGCACCCCTTCCCCCTATGAGCTGTTAAAGTAGAGTATTCATAAAAGCAGGGTTTACATCTTAAAGAAGCTATCCATTAAAGAAAAGGACACAGGATATTCCAAATTCATCTTGTTCCAGAACTTTCACATGTAAATCTGTGCATAATGTTTTGTACGGTGAAAAAAGTCAGTATAAAAATACTGCTGTCTTTTATCCATACTGTGAGAAAAGCACAATTTATAACAGGAAATAATACTTTATTATAAAATGTACATGTAAACAAGTAACAAATTAATTGAAGAATGGTTAATGTAAGTGCAAATTAACTTCATAAAACGGTATCTGTTCTGTATTTAAATATATATAATTTGTTTTGTCACATTCTAATGTGGTTCTACTCCACCATCCCCAAGTTTCAGTTTAAAAAGATTTATCATTGCTTGCTTTATACTAAAAAGAGCGTACGAGCCTGCGTACAAGTTTAAGTTTTGCTCTGCAAACAAGACACATCTATGGTGATACTTATCATCCTTTCTTAACATCTCTGATATCCACAGGACAAGAAGATATATAACATATATACACAGTGAAAACGTGGGCATGTCAAGCCACTTAAATTTAGTTCATTTGCTTGCACAAATTGAAACTTAAACCATTTATCAATGAAGCAGACACTGTACTGTAACTTCCAGACTTGCTTGCACACCTTAAGGCATTAACGAGAGTCTCAATTGGTAAGTCATTCTTGTTATCACCATGAGGATCATCTGTACAGTTCTTGTAACTGTCAATTGCTTGTTCATCACCCACATGCAACAAGCTGGCCTTTCTGAAAGCTCCTAAAGCACAGACAAGTCATGGCAAGACTTTGATTTTGCTTTGAAAGCCATCTTCTTGTTGTTCTTTGCCACAATTCTCCCCAGGAATCGTCTTGCCTTTTTGCCTATGCTTTCTCTTCTTTTTGTGTTGGCCATTCTCCGAGCGTTGTCTTCTTTGCTGTCTTTGCGAAGTCTAATCTGCCGAACAATACCTTCAAACAGGTCCTTGACATTATGATGAAGAGCAGCTGAGGTCTCAATGAATTTGCAGTCAAACACAACGGCACAGGCCCGTCCCTCTGAATGGAAAGAGAAATAGAGATGAGTAGAGATGGAGATTTTGCCTTTATAAATACTGGCAGAATAAAAAACAAAACAAAATTTGACTTTAAGTAAAGTGCCTTCAATGCCACAGAAGCGCTTTACTACATTGTAGGAAAGTCCAAATTTGCACTCATGTTTTTGCCCCCTTACTCTTCTCAGGTTTGCTGTGGTAGGGTCAGGAATCTCGTTTGACCAATGGCACTGAATATAAGGCAATACTAGTCTTCTAGGCAGAACATCCCAGTATTGCTTAAGAGCTAAAGCTGATATAGGATTGGTACTTAGATGCACACTTACAGTTTGACAGCAAGAGTGCGAGGTACAGAAAGAAATGGGCTTTACTTCTACTGGAAGTCACTGAGCTACTACGAACCTCTGCCTTGCTATAATAACTGAGTTTTCCACACTAGCTACAAATGAAGCAGTTGAAGTCCACCAGTCAAGTCATTGAACATACCACTAGACATCAGGAAGTTGTACACCACTGGATTTGACTAGGACTGCATTCAAAACACAAGATGCTCAATGTTCCAGATGTAAGCACGTAACTCTGGAACGTTGCAGTAACCCATGTCCAACTTGTGGTAAGTCGTGGCAAAGTTGTAAGCTTGAGCAAAATACTTATGTTGCAGCTAGGACAGGTTAACCATGCGCTGCCACCAGCCTGAAACAAGCGACCATCTGATGAACTTCAGTCAGTCCCCTGTGTGCAGGCATTTAACACAGGGAACACGGCAAAAACAGATCACCACACTCGCCACTGTTTTCTGTGGGACTGAGTCTCCCTGCATGAGCCAGCTGGCTTGATTTTTCCAGCATACCTCAATTTATTTTTCTACATTAAAACCAGACCATTTCTATTAGCCATGATCCTCCACAGCCCTTGCTACTACTGTAGCCACAGCTGTGTAAGTGAATGGTGTCACTTACCGTCAACTGAGACTTCCCGGGATCTGACCAGGTCGCTTTTATTGCCCACAAGAATAATAGGAATGTCTTCCGTTTGCCTTGCTCTTCTTAGCTGGATTCTTAGCTCAGAAGCCTTTTCAAAGCTAACTTTGTCTGTCACTGAATATACAATAATATAAGCATCTCCCATCTTCATACAGTGGTTCTGAAGCCACTGGCTGTCATCCTAAAACAAAAGGCAAGAAATAGATTTATTGCACTGAAAGTCTATTCAACACTGTTTTAATTATTGTAAGCACCTTAAAGGTATTTTTCTTAGCTCTATTATCAAGAGTTAGTGAAAGTAAGCCAACCTCCCAATTTAAAAGAAAAATATTTAAGATATATTACAAAAACAAAATTCTTTTGTTTCTAGAAATTCTGTCAGGTCTGCACTGCTCATATTGCAAATCTCTAATTTTACAGTAGTTCCCCTGGCTGCTCATGTAAGCTGCTGCTTATTCCAAGCATTAAGGGATTCACACTCCAACGCTCTTCAGATTTTTAAGTTGTGTGCGTAGCTAAAGAAATTAGTTGCAGGAGCAAACAAAGGCAGCACGAATTCTAATTGTTAATGTCATATTTTTTCATGTCAGTTATCTTCTTTAATGTTAGTTATCCGACTGGAGAACTAGACAGACATAGCTGTGCTATTTCTGCTTTTCTGAAGACTGAACTACTGACAAGCCATGACAAAGAGATACCAAATCTGTAATTACCTGCTCCCATATATCGAACACCACGAGAGACGCCTCTTCTCCATCAACTATAATCGATCTGTCGTACGTATTTCCTACGGGAAAGACAAGTACACAAAAAGCAGTTACTCTCCTGCGTCCCCGCCGGGGTGGCCGTAGGGAGATGCCCCGGGAGCTACGGGACCCCCGCTCCGCCCGCAGCCTCACCGGCCTCCTCCGCCTCCGCGCTGTCCTCCACGCCGCCGAAGATGCGCGCCAAGCTGGTCTTGCCGACGCCGTGCTCCCCGAGCAGGATCACTTTGTAGAGGCTGCTGTCGGAGTCACTACCCGAGGAGATGACCGAGTCGGAGGAGTCGGAAGCCCAGCTCTCCCGCTGCGCCTCGCCGGGGCTGTACGAAGTGCAGCGCACCAACCCAGCGACTTCGTCCTCTGGCAGGGCGGCCTGCAGGTCCCGCTCGTCCACCGGCATGCTTCGCCGGTGCAGATGCTGATGCACGGAGAACGGCATGCTGCAGCGTCGCTTGTCCAGGTAGAGCAGCTTGTCGCCGCGGTTCAGAGTCATAGAGGTGCCGAGCTGAGGCCGGAGAGAAGGGAACTGTCAGCACCCGCCGCCCTGCGCCGCAGAGCCCCTCCGTACCGTGCCGTTCCCCGGAGCGGCGCTTACCTCAGGGCGCTCGGAGAAGAGCGAGCAGTGAGGGGCTTCTCCGCTCCTAGCGCTCGTACTGAGGCGCTCTCAGCGAGTGCTGCACCTTCTCTGCTGCTGCCCGTATTTATAACGCCGAGAGACGGCTCGGCCCGCCCCTCCATGACGCGTCCCGCGGCACCCTGCCACCGCCAACGGGGGAAGCGGCGCACGCCCACGGCAGGGTGGCCCGGCTCAGGTGGATGCTGCTCGGTCCATCTCGGTTCGCCTCGGCTCGGCTCTGTTCCGTTATGTTCGGCCGAGGCCGACGGGGAGCCGCGGACCGAGCTGCCGGTGGCAGCGAAAGGGTGGGCGGTGGGGCTGCCCCGCCGTGGGCCCGGAGGAGCCCATGGGGTAGGCTCGGAGCGCTTGTGGGGGAAGCACCGCCACATGGATCAGCCCCACGGCCCGCTCCTGCCGGCCCGGGGTCCCGCTTGCCTGATGGAAGGCAGTATTCCCGTGTATGCGGCTTGTTGCCACTAAACAGTCCTTTGTGAGAGAGCACCTGTTGGACTCAGGTTTCCGAGGCTTGTTAGGCTCTACGTTATTGACCAGGAGTTTATATGTCCGCAATAATGTTAGGGAAAATACTGTCAAACCTGCAGTATTTGTTTCACTTGGTGCTTAACTTTACTCGGTGCTCAGAAGGGAGTTAGGAGAAAAGAAGCTGTGCTACGGCTTGCACTTAACATAACAACCTTGCCAATGCCTTCACATGCAGTGCTAACTATTTAAGAGGTCAATATAAAACATATTATACACATAAAGGTCAAATTCTTCTCTTGATTTCACCTGAGCAGCAAAGTGAAACAGTGAAAGTCTTATCTCATAAGTGACACAGTCATCACCGTGTGATCAAGTGAAGAAACGACTAACCAGATTACTATACTTGTATTCCGAATGGCTCACCCATGCATCATGTATACAGTTTGTTGTTTACCTAGCAACAAAATGTGTGAGACATTTTTACAGCCAAAATAACTTTGGCTGCTGCTCCCAAAAGATTAGACCCTGATCAGTATGGGAAAATCCCTGTGACTCTGGGCAGGGACAGTTGCCATTGAATTCGTGACAGTTTAAGGATTTACAATTCAGCTGCAGAAACGGTGCTAAAGAAAGCAAGACGTAGGAATGTGATGGAAATGGAGTTATAGATATAATACAGGATATAGGAATAAAGTAAGGAGAAGGAAAGAGAATGGGATTGGGCTATGGGTTTGCATAGCCAATGAAATACAGCATACCAGCTCAGAAATGACTTTTTTTCTTACAACATTAAACTTCTCAGGCTTCGTAACTGCAACAAAGATAACCATAAAAATGCTTTGAATGGACTGACCACAGGGAATGAATGTTTTTTTTTTTCCTATGAAATTGAGTGAGTGAATATTCTGTTGGTTTGAGGTTTTGTTCAGGAGCCAATTACAGACTTCCAGTCCTGCTCTCCGGGTCCTTTTGACCCTTTTGCCCTGATAACTGCAGTTCGAAGTGTTAATGTGGCAGTTAAAGATCACCAAGTGCTTACAGCAAGTTCTTTCTGCCTGTCTCACAAAAGAGCAACCAAAATAGCCTTGTCAGTTTAAATAGAGTTTGGTGGTGAAATGAAGTGTGTGCTTCAGAACAGGATTATAAAGCTCTGGTTAGCAATTTAGATCATATTTAAATAAATTATGGTTAACATTTGAACTACAGCATGGTTACTTGGATAAACTGGAATTTGCCAAACCATCTTGATTAATCTGTATTTATATGCCATTAATTATGTAACTACCATGTAATGGAAGGAATGGTTTGTCTTCAGTTAACTTTTTAAAAATTCGAATGTTTCTGCTTAAAATTCTCAGCTGAAGATACTGTGAGTGGGTGTCTGGGTCTGTTGGACCAGTGTTTCTTGCGTGCCTTTACTGTGTGTCAGGGTCAAACTTTAGAAGTTGACACATGAAGTGGAGGTATCCTTATTTCTTTTCTGTCAGAAAGAAGGGAAATTGGCAAAGCATCAGAACCAAAGATGCAGAGGGCCCCTTCTGTGCTGACTGGAACCAAACTAAAAATGGGAGTTTCCTGGTGGGACTTCAAGAAGCCATACTCCAGGCCTTTTGTTGGTGAGAATTGTGAATATTTTAATGATGTACAGACCTCTTGCTAGCCAAAAAATAACAGGAAAGGTGTATGTAAAAGTGCTAAATAAAACCATTGAGAGAACAGTGTTTCAGCAGGAAAAGTGACTGAAAATAAAATAATACCTACTAGAAATCGTACAGAAAATCCAGGACTATGCAACAGGTATTTGTTTGGTGCCAGCAGCCAGGTACAACTAATGAATTAATGGTTATAGAACACCAGCATGGTTACGAGATACCACTCACGATCTGGCACTGGGTTCTGCGAGTTGTCCTTTAATGCAAAGTGAGATGGCTTTGGATTAGGTCTCCAGGGCTTCAGTTGTTCAGAGGGGTGAGTACAAGCACATAGGAGTGCTGTGCCAAGGTAGTTAGGTCTGTTCCCATCTGCCACAGGATTTGTGCCTGGAACGATAGAGAGGCAGATCACAGGGGTCACGTAGCTGGTTCATCTCCTCTGATATTAATAGGTCCAGCTATTTTGTGAAGTTGGAAGGAATTAACAGATAATTCAGGTTAATCACTTGAGACACATAACCTGCTTCTTCACATAGCATGTAATTCTATTTGCTGTTAATTATTGCTATATATTCATGTATACATTACCGTGGCACCTGCTGATTTCAATGGGGTGCATATGAGACCACCTTGAAATGTTGATCTTTCCATTTCCTTGAAGGATTTTAAGACCATCTCCTTTCTCACCTGCCTTCCATTTCCACTTATATGTGGCTGTTCTTCTAACAGATGTATTAACTCTAATTCATTTCTATTTTTAAAAAGATTTTAATGCCTTGCTTTTCTACTCTTATTTTCTGTTGTCATAGCTTCTATGGTCTAGGGTTTGCTTTGATTCAGTGAGTGCTTCAGACATGTCCTGTAGACTTGCTGGTTTTAGTAGGCCTAATATACCATTCCTTATATACCAAAATGGAAACGGGAAATTTTATATTTTGGTTGGATTTTACATGGAGCAAGACCTGGAGTCTCAGTGTGGAGGGTGAAAGTCCACTCCAGCCTGCATGGCAGACTGTAACTGCACCGAATCAGGGTTATAACAGTGGTTCTTCAGTCATGGTTGGCTCCTGGGCAGTTCAGGTGCCTGTCCCTGCAATGGCTGTGTCACAACCAGCAGCAGAGCTGTACCCAGGGGCTGCTGTCTAACTGCCTGGGCTTAAACCATGACACTAACCCAGATCCTTGCTGTGAGGAGGTATGGCTTAGCAAAAGTTACAAGCAAATTCTGCTGAGATCAGGAGTCATATTTAGTCTGCAGGACCCCAGTCAAGGACATCCTAATCATCAGGGTATTCTGGGATCCTGGCAGAGCCACTGTAACTTCCCTTTTGTGAATCAACCTAAAAACTTCCCTTTTGCTTGGCTGCCCAGCCAGCATCTGTGGTGTGTGTCTTGTGGTTGTCATGGAAGAATTTCATCTGAGACTTAGAAGGAAAGGAACACTGATATCCTGTATTGTGTGAAATTGAGCATGAAGCTCTCTAAAAAGGGATTACCTTTTCTCCCGCAGTTTCATTTCATCTCTATATGATTTTCACTTTTGTTCTTTCATATGCTTTCCACTTTCCTTTCTTTGTATTTTACTGTTGTACTATATCTGGTTTCTTTCTTTCTTTCGTTCTTTTCTTATGCTGTCTCTCTCTTTTTTCCCTTTCAGTTTTCCTCTAGCTTTTTAGAAGTGTTGGTGTTCACTTCTAGTGCACTCTTTTGCCCTGAGTACTTTTCATCATATGGAAATGGTAAATATGCAGTCCAATCCTGGTTTTCCAGTTATTTATTCCTGTGGTAATAAAGCTTGTGCTGGGAGTTTCTTTATGCTATATTATGTGCACAGTGGATTTCATGGTCTAAATGAAAAGCACAGCCATCGCAGGGGCTGCAGTGATAGCTAAGCATGTATAACCTAATACCTAACCTCCTCTCTTTTGAATTTTCAGATAAAAAAATCAGGATTTGGGGGATTGAATTAATTTTATGTAATTCTACCTTATCAGTGTTTGTTCAAGGTCAAATGTCATAAATAGCATTTATATTTTTTACATCAAAGCAATGTTATCACTGAATTCCAGTTTTTGCATTTGCTGCTGTCTTACACTGGAATTGGTTCGCATTTGATTAGGAATAATAGAAATATGTCGAACAGCCCAAAGTCTGGGTTATCAGCAGTGAGATTTAAGAGAAGTTGTTTTTCTCAGTGGGGCTCCATGCTGGAAGTCGTGGATTTCTCCTGTACTTACTTTTCAACTAATCTGCACTGCCTCAAGTCTAATTAATCAGCCATTATGTGGATGAAGTTATTTCTATGCAAACTGCAGAGATATCCCCAAAGGTCTGTTCTTGCCAAGTTACATGAAGCATTACTCTTGCAGAGTCTGGCTACCTTCCAAATACCTGGACTAAAACAGAAATAGCAGCATTTATTATTTTTTTAATTACAGAACTGACAGACTTGGGGCAGTGGGAGAAGAGACAGAGGCAGGAGTTGGAAACGTTTTGGTTTTTTTTTCTGACCTAACAAGATCAAACAAACAAACAAGCCAATTTTTTTCCTTATCCTAAAAAAAAAAAAAAAAAATAGGATGTAGTACAAATGTCTTGTCAATTTGTCCTCACCATCACCCTTAAAATCACAGATTAGTGTGTGCTGAACAAATACGGAATAATTGGTTTGGTTTGTGGGTGTATATAAACACATATTAGACCTTTACATGTGTAGCCAGTGATATATTGCATTGTCTTGCAGTTAATATATAGGGATGCAGAAGTAAGCTACAGATTGAACTGTAAGTGTAGCTGTAACAAAGGCTGAATCAATTTCAGCCTTCACGCTACCTACCGCCTTTGTGGGAAAGCCTGATGAATGTCACATCCTC